TCAGACACAGAGGTAATTTATACCAACATCTGTTCATTTTTGACTTCTGAAACAAACTCGCACATGCTGCTACAAAATCCCATTAGGAGTAGGGAGACAGCCTTCTGCTACTATTCTATATTTCTCGTCTACACACACACACACACACACACACAACCCCTTCCAGTAGGGTTTTATATGTAAATACATTTTACTAACAAACTCCCACCAAGGATTTCACATCTCCCTGGGGAGAAACCTTTAGAGACAGCTTCTGCCTGCTTCCAGAAAGACATTTCTGTTTCCCCTGCCCACTTCCATCTCTTCTTCCCAGAAGTTAGAGTTTGGTCTCACTCTGCACAAATGGCCAGGGAAGGATCCCATGCTTTTCAGCCTGGCACTCCCAGATCCTCCATCTCTCCTGATCCTTTCCCACCCTAAACATATTAGCTAGAAGACAATCCTAGAGACAACAGGATTGCTAGAGAGAGTTTCGTCAAGGGTTAGTGAAATTTGCCAGTTCTTTTCCACATCTGGATTTATTCTCTAGAACTACAAGTTTCAAGAGGAAGGCAATAATGCCACCCTTCTAATAGCCAGGACGAGAGCATCTCACTGGTCACCAGCTACCATGGAGCACGCTGGGCAGAACAGAAGTGTGACCCCCATGTCAAGTTGTGCATGGGTCTCAAATTGAGAGCCACAATATGGTCACCAAAGGGTTAACACGTGAATTCCGGCTGAGTGTGCAGAGGGGACCCCTCATGCAGTCTGAAACACACAAATGGCGACACCACAATCCACTTCCAGGTTTATGCTGTTTCTATTACCCTCTGCATAGCTTCCCCAGGGCTGTCAGGTTCACGGCAGCTGTAAATACCTGAATTTACTTAGAGAGGTCAGGGCTGAAGGGAGGACTCCATCCTGCTTGCGCGGAAGGTGGTGGGTGCATGGCTTCATATAATCTCTCCTTTAGACTCTTCAATTCCTCCATCCTACATTTTAGTCTTGCCTCTCTCTTTCCACAATGACTATCCCCAAGCTGCCTTCTCTGTAGTAAATTTTCTGGTGGCTGGTTGAAAAAGATTCAGTGGTACAGATTGATTTCTCACTGGTGAGGGGATGAGGGATTACCAGAGGCACCCTGGCTAACGAGATTGGGTGCAGCATCTCCCTGGAGACCAGCCCTCTCCGCCAGGGCTTTGTACCTTTCACCCATGACATATGGCTTTCATTACAGAAATATTTTTCAGATTATAACTTTGAGGCAATTGCCTGATAAAATTGTTAGACTTTTATGTGGGGGAACAATGTAAAAATTAAGCAACTTTTTAATGAAATGGAAGAAGTTCATAAAGCTTGGTTTTCAATTCTAAAGTACTTCAAATATTTCTGTGCCTCAATAAAATCAAAGACATCTGCAAGGTGGAGAAGACTTACTTTCCTCTGGTTTGCTCACACTCAGAAGAGCAACAACAGGCTATTTTTAAGAGATTCTAATATGAGTGACCAGGAAACAAAGGAGACTGCTCTTAGCAGTGGACAGCCTTGGACTTGAACCTCAGCTTTGACACTGACCCTGGACTACTGTGGGAAAGTCACCAAGTTATCTTTCTGTGCACAGTTTCCTCACCTGTTCAAGGTGAGATTAAAACAAAGGTCACATGGGCTTTCTGTAAATGCTCCTTATTGTGTAGGTATTTCTTTTCATTTCAAAGAAGTCGATGTAAGCAACAAGATGTTTGATGGAAAAATCATGTAAGGCTCATTTGTTTTACAGTTATTTATGCCTATTAAAAGACATTATCTTCTATAGAACAGCTATGTACAAAAGAACAGCATTGTTCTTCATTTTGCAATAATAAATGAAAAGAGGTGAAATTCTCTAACTGAACAAGGTAGACAAACATTTGTTGCTTTTTGTTATGCAAAATAACAGAATATAGAAAGACAGATGAAGGAGCCCCTGATCAAAAAAGGAGGTATTTTCATGGAATCACTATTTTCCACCCTTCCTATCTCCACTGATGTTGATCAAAACATACCAGTCATTTAGTTTAAAAAGAAGGAAAGCAAACATGCTTGTGCTCACAGACCACTTGTTTGATGCACAATCAAAGAATGGAAGAAAAAGTGAAAAAACAGCAGCCCGTACTGGGGTGACGGAGTGGTCAGGATGTGGAGATCAAGCTGCAGCTTTCTAATTTACGCATGGTCTGGGGGAACAGAACTCTTAAGCGCAGGTTCCTTGTGTGGCAGGTACCTCCTGCCTGCTTAGGGAACACACACATCAATTACATCTTCAAACTCCATTTCCAACTGTGCAGGTGTGTCTGTCTCATTAATTGACCTTCTATCAAACTGGAATCTGATCTGCTTCCTGTTCGCAATGGGCTTTCATTAGCTTATTGGGTGGAGGGATGCCTCTATCTTTTTTTTTTTTAATGTTAACAGTTTTTGTTATTGTTAATCGTTATCTGTGATATATGATCCTTTTTATATCTATCTTTATTCCTGTTTTTTTTTTTTTTAAAGATTTATTTACTTATTTGAAGGGCAGAGCTAGAGAGGCAGAGGCAGAAGTCTTCTATCCGCTGGTTCACTTCCTAAATGGCAGCAACAGCTGGAGCTGGGCCAATTCGAAGCCAGGAGCCAGGAGCTTCTTCCAGGTCTCCTATGCAGGTGCAGGGGCCCAAGGACTTGGGCCATCTTCCACTGCTTCCCCAGGCCACAGCAGAGAGCCCTATGGCCTGGCGCCCATATGGGATGCTGGCACCGCAGGCAGCGGCTTTACCCGCTATGCCACAGCGCTGGCCCCAGAGGATGCCTCTTAATCTTTGTCCTCAGTCTGGACTCATTGCTTGGACTTTTCGTCAGCCAGGGTGGGTACTGGAGTCTCAACTGCCTCTTACAAGAGGTACTAGGTCTGCATCAAATAAGCACCTATACAGCACCAAGGATGGAAGGATGGTAAAAGGAGGCCTGTTTTTCCTGGGTTTTTTTTTTTTTTTTTTTTTTTTTGACACATTATTACTATTGAAGGCAGAGCTAGAGAGCAGAGCAGAGTCTCTATCGCTGTCACTCTAATGCAGCACAGCTGAGCTGGGCCACTCGAGCAGAGCCAGAGCTTCTCCAGGTCTCCTATGCAGGTGCAGGGGCCCAAGGACTGGGCCATCTCCACTGCTTCCCCAGGCCACAGCAGAGAGCCCTATGGCCTGCGCCCATATGGGGATGCTGGCACCGCAGAGCAGCGGCTTTACCCGCTATGCCACAAGCGCTGGCCCCAGAGGATGCCTCTTAATCTTTGTCCTCAGTCTGGACTCATTGCTTGGACTTTTCGTCAGCCAGGGTGGGTACTGGAGTCTCAACTGCCTCTTACAAGAGGTACTAGGTCTGCATCAAATAAGCACCTATACAGCACCAAGGATGGAAGGATGGTAAAAGGAGGCCTGTTTTTCCTGGGTTTTTTTTTTTTTTTTTTTTTTTTTGACAGGCAGAGTTAGATAGAGAGACAGAGAGAAAGGTCTTCCTTTGCCGTTGGTTCACCCCCAAATGGCTGCTACGGCTGGCACGCTGCGGCGATCTGAAGCCAGGAGCCAGGTGCCTCTCCTGGTCTCCCATGCAGGTGCAGGGCCCAAGCACTTGGGCCATCCTCCACTGTCCTCCCGGGCCACAGCAGAGAGCTGGACTGGAAGAGGACCAACCGGGACAGAGACAGAACCAGCGCCCCAACTGGGACTAGAACCCAGGGTGCCGGCGCCGCAGGCGGAGGATTAGCCAAGTGAGCTGCAGCGCCGGCCAGGGGGCCTGTTTTTAAAAAGAATTTCAAAGATCTTCAAATGCAATACAGATGGCATCATGAATAACTTGCATCTGGGTAACACACATGCTGTGGCACATTAAACCCTGTTGAAGCCAAGCCTGAATATCAGAGGCAGCTACTATGCTTAACTATACCAGCAGATACTTCTAGCAAAAAAGAATACATAAAACCCTCCTTTAATCAATGTGATAAAAGGCTGTTCATTTATTAGCTTCACAGAAGATGTTTTGTAGAAATGATGCCATTTGTTATAATTATGATTTTGACTCTTCTTTAAAAACTACTCTTTTGGCCTCTGAAACCTTGAATACATCCTAACAGCTGGGAGAGAAGGGATCGACTCCAGGCATCAGTGTGCCCTGTGCAGAAGAGAAGCACCAAGAGGGCGGATGGCTGGTGCAGTCAGTTGCATGTCCTGCCTACTATGTACAAGACCTTAGGAAGAGTCAGATAATTTGGACAGAAAGAGACTATTCTCAGAGGCCACGCTACCTTCGTGATGCAGCTAGCTGTTAACAGGTATTTTGGTGGCTTAGAGGAGAACAAAGGCAACCAATGAGACTTAAAATGCTGACTTCTGTCTCCCAGCAATGTGGAAGTTTGCCTGAAGCTAGGGCACAAAGCTGCCGCAAGGACAGCAGACCAGTTACAGGGCAGTCTGCTGGACAGATTCTTCACCACGCTCCTGTCCAGGGTCAGATCTCCACACGGAAAGTACCACTAGGCAGTCAATAATTCAAGTCAAGGACTAGGCACTTAGTCCTTGCCTCAAACAAGAGCAGCTGGTTTATGCCACTGTAAAGAGCAGAAGGCACTGGGAACTAGTGGGTCCCTGGATGAGGAGGGTCTCCTGGACCTCATTCCATTAGGATACATGGTGGCCCTCACAGGTGGTATAACTGTAATAAGATCTGGTGATCTTATCAATCAACTCTTGTGGAAAAGTAACCACAAATGAGAGTCTGGTAGAAATTTCACTTTTCTCTGAAGTATATAAAATGAAGGTCAGCAGAACAGCCTTGAGGCTTCTGCATTAAACATTTCAAAAGGGAAGGCCGGTGTGGCGGCTCACTAGGCTAATCCTCCACCTGCAGCGCCTGCACATGGGGTTCTAGTCCCGGTTGGGGCGCCGGATTCTGTCCCGGTTGCCCCTCTTCCAGGCCAGCTCTCTGCTGTGGCCCGGGAGTGCAGTGGAGGATGGCAAAAGTCCTTGGGCCCTGCACCCCATGGGAGACCAGGAGAAGCACCTGGCTCCTGCCTTCGGATCAGCGCGGTGCGCCGGCTGCAGCACACCGGCCGCGGCGGCCATTGCAGGGTGAACCAATGGCAAATGGAAGACCTTTTCTGTCTCTCTCTCTCTCACTGCCCACTCTGCCTGTCAAAAAGAAATTTCAAAAGGGAAATTAAAATATTATAAATCTGGGTGCTGTATCTGTGACCAAACTATCATAGACTCAAAAATTTTCATCTTCAGAATTCTTTAAAAAAAAAAAAAAAAAAAGAGCCTTTTTAGGAACACAAATTCCAGGATTCCCTTTCTATTGGCTCTAATAGATTGTTTTTTCCCTTGAAAAACAGGAGTTTTTCTACCAGAAGGGTGGGGTGTCTAAGAACAGAGCTCTTCCCAGTGACTGTGGACAAAGATAATTTTAAAATTTTTTTTTATTTGACAGGTAGAGTTACAGACAGTGAGAGACAAAGAGAATGGTCTTCATTCTGTTGGTTCACCCCCCAAAATGGCTGCTACAACCAGAGCTACACCGATCCGAAGCCAGGAGCCAGGTGCTTCCTCCTGGTATCCCATGCGGGTGCAGGGCCCAAGCACTTAGGCCATCCTTCACTGCCCCCCGGGCCGCAGCAGAGAGCTGGACTGGAAGAGGAGCAACCAGGACCAGATTCCGTCACCCATATGGGATGCCAGCGCCACAGCGCCGGCCCGACGAAGATAGTTTTAAAACAAACATTTTTTCTTTTATTCACAAGTAAAGACATTTCTAGAGAATGGTTTATCCAAGAGGTAATACGAAAAAGAAAAGCCAGGACTCAGTGTGCAGGTAAACAAATTTGGACAGTTCCAATATGGAAAATAATTTTAATGGCTTTTCACAAGAGGAAAAAAAAAAAGGACAGGAATATCCAGCCAACAGATTTATTTTCAGAATATAAAGCATCCAGCAGGAACATAAAATATGGGAAGTGTCAGCCATGATGCCTGAAGATTGAAGGCAGAAGTGGAAGAATCTTAATTGTCAGGGACTTGAAAAATGCTGTATTCAGGTGAAAGCCTGTGTTTCTCCATCAGCTCCTTTGCAGTGCCCCCTTTTAAAGCCAAACAAGACAAGACTTCGAATGTGCAATCTTTCTCTATCATCTTTCTCCCTACTACAAACCAAACCAAATCAAACCACCACCACCACCAAAAACTCAAAAGATTTGCATTCAAGAAATGAGAGCTAACAACTTCCTGCTTGTATTTTGCTTCTTTTTCAGAGAGCCTCACAGGCCTATTGCACAGTTTCACTTAATTCCCTTTTCAAGGGTAAAACTCAACTGAGGGAAAGGCAATGAGATCAAAGCAATGGATTAATACTCTGGGGGCCAGAACTTTTATTAAGGACTCATAAATTTGTGCAGAACATTCATGTTTCAGGGTCTTTACACAGTGATACATCCTGGTGAAACCCTTATTATAGCATCATAGCCAAAGGCTAGTAGCTTCACACAGTCTTAATATCCTCATCCTTAAAGTGAGAATCACTATAATAATCTACCATGTAAGGTTAAGACAGAACAACTAGTCAAAGTGACTTGACCAGCACACAAAATGTGTTGCCAAGTTGAACAGCACAATTTATTCTTAGGCTAGATTCGACTCTCGGGAAAATCGGAGCAAGATCAGAGTATGTGTAATTTCAAATGACGTGGGTGTGCAGACGGCTTCCCGGCTTGGTCCAGCCCTCTTCAAGGTGCCGGCAGCAGCAAGAGTCTACAGAGGATGAAAGCCGTTCTTCTTGACCCAACCAGGGCAGGGAAAGAGTTACATCTTTACACGGAGAGGCCAAGACAAACCTCTCTTGATTATGATTTAGATAAGAACCACTGGATTGAATAATAATGTCTGAAACTCCCCTGGCTGTTTCACCTTGAGACGTCCATCACTGGGTTAAACATGATGCTAATTGCATTTGGATTGATTAATTTCTCTCACTCCTGTCTATTCGAATAACGCTTAACAAAATAATCATAGCACCCAGAGCCAAATCTTTTCCGTCAAAGGAATGAAGCCATCAGAACAGGCAGAGATGAAAGAAATGAAGATGACCCGTAATTACTGCTACGGTGATATCATTACCATATTATACAAAATGAGTGTGGGGGGGAGGGGGGTGGAGAGAGGAGGGACTGAGATTATTTATTTTTTTTAATGGAACCCTACAACCTAAGAATACAGAGTTGACATCAAGTAGAATGTACAGAAATATATAGAACTTAAAAAAAATACAAATCTTTCTCCTGAAATTGCAAAATCCAACAAACACTGAGGTCCAAGATACATCAAGTGTCTTGAGCTGTGAGCAGGTATTATTCACAACACTATTTTTTCATTGCAATAACACTTTGTGTACGACTTGCATAGAGATTTAAGATGCTGTCTTCATACCACAAGCATTCCCATGGTTATTGGAGAATTCTTCTGTAAGCCATGGAATAATACAGTTTTATTTTAATATTGTTAGAGGTGGCCCTGTCTATAGAATTAGAATCCGGGTTTTAACTGCAGCTAGTTCTAGTTTAAGCTATCAAGGAAAATGTCAATGAATCTTCATGTATGGTTCATTGGATAATATAGATTTAATTTAAAACACCAGCAAGAAAAAAATATAATCTTTCCTTTAAAAACTATTTTCTTAATTGATATGAACTTTTTAGTACTTTTTTTTTTTATTTGACAGGTAGAATTATAGACAGTGAGAGCGAGAGAGAGAGAGAAAGGTCTTCCCTCCGTTGGTTCACTCCCCAAAAGGCCACTACGGCCGGCACTGCTCCGATCTGGTCTCCCATGCGGGTGCAGGGGCCCAAGCACTTGGGCCATCCTCCACTGCCCTCCCGGGCCACAGCAGAGAGCTGGACTGGAAGAGGAGCAACTGGGACTAGAACCGGTGCCCATATGGGATGCAGGCGCCACAGGCAGAGGATTAACAAAGTGAGCCACGGCGCCAGTCCCTAGTACTTATTATTTTTTTTTAAAGACTTATTTATTTACTTGAGAGGCAGAGTTATATACAGAAAGAGGTCTTCTATCTGCTGGTTCACTCCCCAAATGGCTGCTATGGCCAGAGCTAGAACAATTGGAAGCCAGGAGCCAGGAGCTTCTTCCTGGTCTGCCATGAGGGTGCAGGAGCCCAAGTACTTGGGTCATCCTCTACTGCTTTCCCAGGCCATCATCAGGGAGCTGCATCGAAGCAGAGAAGCCAGGACTCAAACTGGCAGTCCTCGCTGCTCCACTTCTGATCCAGCTCCCTGTTGGGCCCCTGTCACCCAATGTGGGAGATCTGGATCCAATGGCTCAGTCCTGGCCATTTGCGTAGTGAAGCAGCAGATAGGAGATCTCTCTATCTCTCTGTCTCTCCCTTTCTCTGCAACTCTGCCTTACAAAGAAATAAATAAAACTTAGGGGAAAAAAAAAGACGACACAGGAGCCGACTTGAAGGTATATCCACTAAAGGTGGGACAGTTTTAAAGTAAAAAATGATGATTGTAATAGGTCAAAATACATGAAATACAAACATCTATGATATTTTAAAAAGCCCTCAATCACTTCAACTCATTCTGAAAACTGACTTAAAAAGAGGAAAAAAAGCTAGCATTTTTATTGCCATTTCTCCTTAGACTGCACTTCAAGTATAACAAATAGATGCTGATTTAATAGAGTATTAACAATGACTACCGTCATGATTATCATGAACAGGATCAAACCCATTGAAACTTACTCAAAATGGCACAAACACACCACATACTTCTTGATATTAAGCAACAGGAAGAACACAGTAGCACTTAGGAAATATTCTTGCCAAAAATACTGAGTTCAAAATCAGTCCATTCTCTAGCGCCATCAGCTTACAAGAAATTTGGGGAGAAAGAACATATTGAATGATACCTCCAGGTATTATCCAAATTTAAAATGTGGTAAATTCCTACAGGACACACCCAGCTTTATTCTTTATTTGAGAGGCAGAGTTATAGACAGTGAGAGGGAGAGATACAGAGAAAGATCTTCCTTCTCTTGGTTCACTCCCCAAATGGCTGTAACAGCTGGAGCTGGGCGATCTGAAGCCAGGAGCCAGGAGCGAGGAGCTTTTTCCCGCTCTCCCATGTGGGTGCAGGGTCCCAAACATTTGGGCCATCTTCTACTGCTTTCCCAGGCCATATCAGAGAGCAGGATTGGAAGGGGAGCAGCCGGGACTAGAACCAGTGGCCATATGGGATGCCAGCACCGCAGGCAGAGGATTAACCTACTGCGCCACAGCGCTGGCCCAACACCCAGTTTTTTTCAATTAAATTTCATGGGGTAAAATCCTGGGGGAAGTTGGGGTGTGATTATAGGAAAGATTAAGAGACTTAAGATTGGGGCTGGCGCTGTGGCTTAGTGGGTAAAGCCACCACCTGCAAGGCCAGCATCCATACAGATGCCAGTTTGAGTCCTGGCTGCTCCACTTCTGATCAGCTCTCTGCTATGGCCTGGGAAAGCAGTAGAAGATGGCCCAAGTCCTTGGGTCCCTGCACCCATGTGGGAGACCCAGAAGAAGCCCCTGGCTCCTGGCTTTGGATCGGCACAGCTCCAGCCGTTGCAGCCAATTGGGCAGTGAGCTAGCGGATGGAAGACCTCTCTCTCTCTGCCTCTCATTCTCTCTCTGTAACTCAGACTTTCAAATAAATAAATCTTTTCAAACAAACAAACAAAACAAAAAAGAGACTTAAGATTCATTCAGCTAAATGCAATGTGTGGACCTCACCTGGATCCTGATTCAAATAAGCCAATTAAAAAATACAATTTTGCCATTAAGGAATTATTATTTACTTTTGTTCAGTGTGATAATAGTGGCACTGTTTGTGGCACAGTAGGCTAAGCCACTGCTTACAACCTAGGCATCCCATGCTAGTTTGAGTCCCAGCTCTTCTGTTTCCTAGCCAGCTTTCTGCTAATGTACCTAGGAAGGCAGTGGAGGATGGCCAAGTGCTTGGGTGCCTGCTACCCAAGTGGGAGACCAGGATTGAGCTCCTGGCTCCTGATTTCAGCCTAGCCCTGGGTATTGCAGCAATTTGGGGAGTAAACTAGTAAATGAAAGATTCATTCTCATTCTCTCTCTGCCTTTCAAATAAATAAACATTTTAAAAAAACAAAAAATAAAAGGGGTGGACTGTTTTGTTTAAAGATACACACTAAAATATCTATAGATGAGGGGCTGGCACTGTGGCATATCAGGTAAAGCTGCTGCCTGCAGTGCTGGCATCTTATATGGGTGCCAGTTCAAGTCCCAGATGTTCCACTTCTGATCCAGCTCTCTGCTATGGCCTGGGAAAGCAGTAGAAGATGGCCCAACTTCTTGGGCCCCTGCAACCACATGGGAGACCTGGAAGAAGCTCCTGGCTCCTGGCTTCAGATCGGCCCAGCTCCAGCCACTGCAGCCATCTGGAGAGTTAACCAGCAATGGAAGCCTTCACTTTCTCTGTCTCTGCCTCTCTAATAAATAAATAAATAAATAATCTTAAAAAAATTATATAGATGAAACAATATGACATCCAGGATTTGCTTTAAAATAGCCAGCAAACATAAGCACAACAAAAAGTGTAGTATAAGGGGGCATAGATAAAATAAAAACTGCAGAAAGCTGATCATTATTAAAGCTGGGGGCTGGGCACTTGGGTTCATTATAATATTCTCCCTAGTTTAGTATATGCTTGAAATTTTCCCATAATTAAAAAAAAACCACCTCACCAAATACTTTTCTGGAAATACAGCCTTTTCTCATTATCACTACATATCATAATGTAATTCATAAGGCTAGAAGTAACATGAATGAGTACGGGGAAGAGTGGGCCAGGAAACAGAGGTGGGAATAATTAATTCTGCAGAGGGCTTGGAAATGGATGGACAGGAAAAGCTTTAGAAAGAGGGTAACTTTTCATGTCATGAATGTTTATTTCCATCGTTAAATTCTTTGGATGAGGAACAAATTACACATGACCAACAATCAAAAACAGATTACATATTTTTTTTAAGTCTACCAAATTGAACTTGGGGTAAGTCTAATAATAAAAAGCTGCTGCCTTCCAACCAATCTTTCTCTTACTTCAGAAATAAAGCTGACAAATCTATGAGCAAATTTCACATTGCCCATAAAACAGGTATAAGTGAAGCTCCATGGCTCAACATGTTGCTTCTACAAAATTCTCTGGGAGGCAGAAGAAATGAGTTCATGGTTATTTATTCTTCTTCTCAGAAGAAAAAAAACTTTTTTAAAGATTTATTTATTTGAAAGGCAGAGCAATAGAGAGGAACAGAGAGAAAGATCGCCCATCCACTGGTTCACTCCCCGAATGGCCACAACAGCCAGATGCAGGCCAAGCTGAATCCAGGAGCCAGGAACTTCCTCCTGGTCTTCCACAAGGTGGCAGGAACCCAAGTCCCTGGGCCACCTTCCGCTGCCTTTCCAGGGGCATTCTGATATGGGATGCCAGTGTCACAAGCAGCAGCTTAACTTGCTCAGAAGCCCCTCAGACAAAGCTTTTGAGGTAGGTAGCAAGATTAAGGTCTAAGCAGTCTGAGAGCTAACAGTTACAAGAAGGAACAGCTTAACTGAAACTCTCATAGTCCAACTAATACCCAACTAGTTCGTCCTCATCCTATCAACAGCTCTGTATATAAACGATGATCTCACTAATCCTACCTTACTTTGATCACTCTTTTACCTTATAGATGCTGATTTATCCAATTTAAAACGAATTACTTGTTCTAGCTGATAATTTGATTTTTAATTGTTTGCATTATGGTTTCACATATGTATGGTTCATTTTCTCAACCTGACTGGATAATAAATTCATCGAGGGAAGAGACTTTCAAAGATAATTTCCCTAACATACCTGGAAAAAAATAGTCGTCCAGTAAGCTTTAATTTTAAATATCTTTTTCCTCTTAAATCATGTAGGAGTAGGCCGGCGCCGCGGCTCACTAGGCTAATCCTCCGCCTAGCGGCACCGGCACACCGGGTTCTAGTCCCGGTCGGGGTGCCGGATTCTGTCCCGGTTGCCCCTCTTCCAGGCCAGCCCTCTGCTGTGGCCAGGGAGTGCAGTGGAGGATGGCCCAGGTGCTTGGGCCCTGCACCCCATGGGAGACCAGGATAAGCACCTGGCTCCTGGCTCCTGCCATCGGATCAGCGCGGTGCGCCGGCCGCAGCGCGCCGGCCGCGGCGGCCATTGGAGGGTGAACCAACGGCAAAGGAAGACCTTTCTCTCTGTCTCTCTCTCTCACTGTCCACTCTGCCTGTCAAAAAAATAAAAAATAAAAAAAAATAAAAAAAAAAAAAATCATGTAGGAGAGTACAAAGGTACAATTTCTTTTCTTTTTACAAGAAAAGATTTATTTATTTATTTTGAAAGGTAGAGTTGCAGAGAGGGGAGGGAGAGACAGCGAGACCTTCCATCTACTGGTTCACTCCCCAAATAGCCACAAAGGCCAGGGCTTGGCCAAGCCAAAGCAAGAGCCTGGAACTCCATCTGGGTCTCCCACATGAGTGGAAGGGGCCCATCACTTGGGTCATCTTCAGTTGCTTTCCCACACACACACCAGCAGGGAGCTGGATCAGAAGTAGAGAAGCTTGGATTGGACTGAGTGCTCACATGGGATGTTGGTTTCACAGGCAGCAACTTAACTCGCTGCGCTATAATGCTGGCCCCTAAATGTACAACTTTTATTTTACAAGCACGTCACAATCATCTAAGACATTGATTGTATGGCATATCTATATAGGAAGTCACATGGTAGTGGTTATTTTTCCTGTGATTAAAAATAACAGCTAATTAATCTTCTGTTTTTCAGAATATCCTATTTGATGTTATAAGTGATCTTATTTACAACACTCATGGATTATTAGCTTTAGATAATTAGAAGACAAAAATAGCCTGAGCCAGAAAATTGTATATTATATATAATAGTCTGTGTCACTGAAACTCCAGAGCTTAACCTGCATACAGTTAACATGCAATAAATGTGTGCTGAATGAAGCAACACTCTCTTACTGAAAACACAGCTCATATTTAGGATCTTAGTCAAAATGGCAAAATATAATAGAAGGCAAAACATCTAGTGAATTATATTCTATTGTAAGCAATGGATGTCTTCAGGTAAGTTAGCTACAATTTATAACCTATATAAGTGGTTCTCAAAGTCTGATCCCTGGACCAAGTGCATCAGTGTCACTTGTTAGATAAACAATTTGTCAGGCCTTATCTCATATCTCCTGAATCACACTATAAGAGGGTGAGCCAGGAACTCACAGTTTAACAAGTCCCACAGGCGAGTCTAACTCATGGTTGAGAACCCCTAACCTGTATTATTCAGGGTCTTTGATTTTTCTCATTTGCTGGAGATCTAGTGTATTACTAACAGAGAAGGCAGGGTTGTATTTTATCAAAGATAAAAACATATATCTTAAAGCATATTACTATAAAGCTAAAAAAAAGGAGGGGAGAATTTATCTGTTTAAAAATATTAGCAACATTTTGGAAAAAAATATTAGAAACAAAGGAGAAAATCAAAACATTCAGTCCAAGGATTAGAAAGCTATACCAAAACTTTAGCTCTATACTGACTGCCACCCACAGTGCTCAGTATTAATGCTGCAATAAAATCTTTAACCTTGAGAATCTCAGTAGAGGGCAGGCTGGGAAATAAATAATTATCAAACAATGTCACAGATGCTATCAGAGGAGTATAAAAGACATTATGAGGCTAGAAATGGAGATGATTAATTCCACAGAAGTCTTGGGTCGAACAGACAGAAACAGCCTTAGGAGGTGATGTCTGACCTGAGCCTTCAGGAACACATTATCTGAGAATACCCAGGCAGGCTAAGGACACTTCTGTTTTTAAGATTTTTAAAAATTTATTTGAGAGGTACAGCTACAGACAGAGAAGCAGAGACAGAAAAAAGTCTTCTATCCACTGATTCACTTTCCAAATGGCCATAACAGTGGGAACCAGACCAATCCAAAGCCAGGACCCAGGAGCTTCCTCCTGGTCTCCCATATGGGTGCAAGGGCCCCAGCACTTTGGCCATATTTCACTGCTTTCCCAGGCCACAGCAGAGAGCTGGATCACAAGAGGAGCGCCTGAGAGAGCCGGTCTAGCCTGCTAAGCCACAGCGCTGGCCCCAAGGACACTTCTTTTAAAATTATTTATATATTTATTTACGTTAATTTTACTTGCAAGGCAGGGACAGAGAGAAAGAGAAAAAAAGAAAGAGCGTGAGAGAGAGCTTCCATCTGTTGGTTCACTCTCCAAATGGCCATAACATCTAGGGTTAGGCCAGGGAGAAACTAAGAGCCCGGAACTCCATCGGGTCTCCCGGTGGGAGTGACAGGGAACCCCACACTTCAGCCATCTCCTGCTGCCTCCTAGGGTGCACATTAGCTGGAAGCAGAGGCAGGACTCAATCCTAGGCACTTTGATACGGGATGCAGGCATCCCAGGAGGTCGCTTAACCACCTGCACCATAACACTTGTCCTTTTGAATCACTTTTTTTTATTCTTAAGATTTTATTTATTTATCTGAGAGGCAGAGTTAGAGAGAGAGAGAGAGAGAGAGAGAGACAGAGTGTCTGGGATATGGAAATCTGCTGGTTCACTCCCCAGATGGTCACAATGGCCAGAGCTGGGCTGATCTAAGCCAGAAACCCGAAGCTTCTTCCAGGTCTCTCATGTGGGTGCAGGGGCCCAAGAACTTAGGTCACCCTCCATTGCTTTCCCAGGCCACTAGCAGAGAGAGCTGGATCAGAAGAAGAGCAGCTGGGACTTGAACCGGCACCGCAGGGCAGGGCGTAGCCTATTATGCCACAGAGCCGGCCTCTGAACCACTGGGTGATCACTCAAGCTCTGCTTGAGCAACTGACAAATTCGCTTCTTTACAATGGTTTGTGTTTGAGGTTAACATCAACAGAGCAATTAACTTATATATTCTAGAAGCTATTCAGCATTGTAAGCATATATTCTAAAACTTTCACTCCAAGAAACAAAGCAAGAATATATGACTGAGATTTAAAAAAAAAAATAGAAGATGACCTATCATTCAGCTTTTTGTATCTTAAGATGGCCAACCAATTGTAAATGGAATCACAATAAGCCATACTTCTACATTCCAGCTCAATATAGGAAATATCAAATCCCAGGGTTCCTTGAAATGAAATCTAGCACTGAGCATGATGAAGCAAAAAGGACTGGTTATTTTTGCTTACTCAGTCACAGTTTCTAAATGACTCAAAGAAAAAGGGGAGACTAAGAAACAGCTGAGTGACTTATCAGTTTAAATGTATTTGGATCACTCAATATATGCTTCCCTCATTTTAAGCTACAATTCTACCTGGGTGTTCTAATGTAAAATTTATGGCATCATATATAAACATGTGTCTACATCAAAAGAAGGTTAAAGGAGTGTCAGGCTAGTGGTTAAGTTGCCCAGATCCCACAGTAATGTGCCTGGGTGTGATTCCTAGCTCTGTCAGGCTAAAGCCCAGCCTTGGCCATTGTGAACATTTGTTTCCTGGCCCATGCCTCGTTTAGTACTCATCCATGTTACTTCTAGCCTTATGAATCACATTATAAAATGCAGGGATAGGGGCCAGTGCTGTGGCACAGCGGGTTAAAGCCCCAGCCTACAGGGTCAGCATCCCATATGGGCATTGCTTCAAGTCCTGGCTGCTCCACTTCTGATCCAGCTCTCTGCTATGGCCTGGGAAAGCAGCAGAAGATGGCCCAAGTCCTTGGGCCCTTGCACCTGCGTGGAAGACCCGGAAGAAACTCTTGGCTCCTGGCTTCGGATCAGCTCAGCTCCAGCTGTTGCGGCCAACTGGGGAGTAAACCAGAGGATGGAAGACCTCTCTCTCTCTCTCTCTCTCTCTCTCTCTCTCTAGCTCTGCCTCCCTCTGTAATTCTGTCTTTCAAATAACTAAAACAAATCTTTTTAAAAAAATACAGGGATAATGAGATAGAGTTATACTTCCAGAAAGTATTTGGTGAGGTTGTTTTTCTTTTTTTTAAAGATTTATTTATTTGAAAGACAGAGTAACAGAGGGGGAGGAGGGAGGGAGGGAGGGAAGGAGAGAGGAAGAGAGGGAGAGAGAGAGAGAAATAAATCTTCCATCCACTGGTTCACTCTGCAGATGGCTGCAATGGCTAAGGCTGGGCCATGATGAAGCCAGGAGCCTGGAACTCCATCCAGGTCTCCCACGTGGGTGATAGGGGCTACACTTGGGCCATCTTCCACTGCTTCCCAGACATATCAGCAGGGAGCTGGATCGGAAGTGGAACAGCTGAGGCGCGAATCAATCAGTGCTCATTTGGGATGCCAGCCCAAGGTGTTTTTTTAATTATGGAAAATTTTTAAGCATGAACCTCACGTCCCTATCCCCAAGCTTCAATAAAGGTTAGCTTTCAGCTATTCTTATTTTATATGTACCCCCTTATGCTACACTTTTTGTTGTGCTTATGTGGTTTGCTGGTAAGAAAATAAAAATAGTAATGACACAAAAACTTGTGCACAAATATTCATGACAATATTATTCATAACAGCTAAACAGCAGAAACCCACATGTCTACTAACTGTTGACCAAATAAATAAAATATGACATGTCCCTGCAACAGAATATTATTTGGTAATAAAAAAGGATGCAATCCAGAGATGGTAGGCTGGTTAGTGGTTATCTTGGGTTGGCTTGTAGGCTGGGATGGGTAGAACCAGGGGAAATGGGGAGTGACCGAAATGGTATCTAGGTGTTTTTTGGGGTGGTGGAAATATTCCAAAATTAAGACTGTGGTAACACTTGCATAATTCTGTAAATATACTAAAATTCCCATTGATTTACATACTTTAAGTGGGTGAATTTTATGCTATGTTGGAAACATCTCAATAAAGTTGTTTTTTTTTTTAAAGATTTTATTTATTTGTTTGAGAGGTAGAGTTACAGACTCTACAGTGAGAGGGTGAGACAGATAAAGGTCTTCTTTCTGCTGGTTTGCTCCCCAAATGGCCACCATGGCTGGAGCTGCGCCAGTCCGAAGCCAGGAGCCAGGCACTCTTCTGGGTCTCCCACGTGGGTGTAGGGGCCCATGCACCCACTTCTACAGCTTTCCCAGGCCATAGCAGGGAGCTGGATCAGAAGTGGAGCAGCCTGGACTCAAACCAGCCCCCACTGTGATGAAGGCACTGCAGGTGGTGGCTTTACCTGCTACACCATAAACCCCTCAAGTCAAACTCTTTTATCAAGAGACTTAATTCACACAGATCCAGGGAGATTCAGGCCACAGAATCTGAATCTCGATAGAGACATAGGCACCCAGTTCTTTCCTCTATCCCGAAGCACACCTATTGCTTCTGGCTTTGTTCTCGCTAAAGGACTGACTAAAAATCTAACCACTGTTCTTGATTTAAAACACACTCACACCCTTGGGCGATGGTGATGCTGTAGTGCAGAGGGTTAAGCACCTTGTGCAATGCTGGCATTTGAGTCCTGGCTCCTCAGCTTCTGATCCAGCTCCCCGCTAATGCGCCTGGAAAAGCAGTTGAAAATGACACACATACTTGTGCCTTTGCCACCCACATGGGAGACCTAGATGGAGTTATGGGCTCCTGGTTTGGCCTGGCCTAACCCCAGCCATTGCAGCTAGCAGATAAAGGTCTCTCCACCCTACCCCCCACCCACCTCCGTCACTTTGTCTTTCAAATAAATAAATCTTTAAAAAAAAAAAAAAAAAAACTCAAAACTTGGGCACTGCAATAGTACTGCTGTGTACTTCAAGAAAAATATAATTGATAAATTCAATTCTGTTAAAATAACATCAAAAATTGTACTTAATGTAGAACTTTTTTGAAAAGGAAGACATTATACTTTGAATTAAAATACAGTATAGTATTCAGCTTATTCAGACACTATAAACAATTATTTTTAAAATGTTCCTTTTGTTTAACAACTGGATATTCATCTCAGGAAGTCAGGATGCAATTAGATTTACTATAAGTAGATTAATAAAAATGCATTAAATACAAAGACATTTAGCAAAGCTGTATACTTAAATATGAAAATCCATGAAATCAAAGATTAATATTGCTATGAAATCTAAGTAATCCTCAGTACACATTAAATAATTGGTTAAATGTAGTAACTGAAATCAGCACATGAAACATTTAAACCACAAACTTCTAATAAGTTACATAAGATAGCGTAGATTATTTGAAAGAGTTATAATGAGAGAAGGAGAGGAAGAGAAAGAGGGAGAGGGAGAGAAAGAGAGGTCTTCGATCCACTGGTTCACTCCCCAAATGGCTGCAATGACCAGGGCTGGATCAGGCTGAAGCCAGGAACCAGGACCTTCCTCTGGGTCTCCCACGCAGGTGCAGGGGCCCAAGCATTTGGGCCATCTTCTGCTGCCTTCCCAGGCACATTAGCAGGGAGCTGGATGGGAAGTGGAGCAGCCGGGACTCAACCGGCACCCACACGGATGCAGGTGCTGCAGATGGTGACTTAATCCACTAAACTACAGCGCTGATCCTGAGCTTGTTTTTCTTTAAGATTGGTCATTTAGGGGCAGGCGTTTGGTGCAGGAGTTAAGACACCACTTGGGGCCGGCGCCGCGGCTCAATAGACTAATCCTCTGCCTGCGGTGCCGGCACACCGGGTTTTAGTCCCAGTCGGGGCGCCGGATTCTGTCCCGGTTGCCCCTCTTCCAGGCCAGCTCTCTGCTGTGGCCCGGGAGTGCAGTGGAGGATGGCCCAAGTGCTTGGGCCCTGCACCCCATGGGAGACCAGGAGGAGCACCTGGCTCCTGGCTTCGGATCAGCGCAGTGCGCCAGCCGTGGCGGCCATTGGAGGGTGAACCAACGGTAAAAGGAAGACCTTTCTCTCTGTCTCTCTCTCTCTCTCTCTGTCCACTCTGCCTGTCAAAAAAAAAAAAAAAAAAAAAGACACCACTTGGGATATCTGCACCGCATGTTGGAGTGTATGAGTTGAGACTCGACTCTGCCCCTGATTCCAGCTCAGGCAGCAGGTGATGGCTTAAGTAGCTGGGTCCCTGAAACCCTCGTGAGAAACCCTGATTGAGTTCCTGGCTGCTGGTTCATTTGGGGAATGAACCAGTGGATTCGAGATCTCTGTTTCTGGTCTCTCAAATTAAATAAATAAATAAAAATAAATGAATAAAAAGACTGGTCCACTTGGCAAAAAGGAGCAGTACAATTTCACAGTTGCCTCAGAAACACACACAAAGTGAAGCAATGTCCATTGGGAACTATGCTTGAGATTCTGCAGAAGACATAAAAGTCCCAGAAGTGTGAGGAAGGCCAGCCTTAGAGGAATTTAGATGAAAATCACTTTGCTTTTCTGAGCACTGTTAATGGGCAGTACTACTTCACGTTTCACAAGAGGGCAGAAGAGGCTTTTTAGTGTGATCAAAGTTCTATTTGAAAGGAATGCCAGAATTCAATCTCCTACACAAGATAATTATCAGGGCAATCTGTAAAAACCTATGAAAGCACAGCTGACAAGGATTTCAGGAAGCTCCATTCACTGTCTCTCTTTACAAGAACTTAGTTATCAAGGGAAGTAACCTATAACATAAAAATGTGATCCCTTGTCCAAGACTGTATTTCAATAATGTAGACGACATTCTAAGAATATTACAGGATACCAAAACGTTTAAACAACCATTAAGACAAATTATGGTTAAGGGTCATAATCCAGGGAGCTCTACCACAGACTGTAAAACTCACAGCACTGAGTTTGAATTAGCTTGTGAGAGTAACAAAGACTCAAGTGTGGGACAGCAGGGGCCAAGACATTCCATACCGCAGTCACAGAAAAGGGCAAAGGTACAATCTTTAGGAATCCTCACAGATTCAGAAGGAATACAGCCAAGAAATGTAGGTTCCCAGAGGTCAGAGAAGTATGTGAAGAGTAATCAAGGCAGAAAAGGTTACTGGATAAAAGCAAAATCTTGTATTTCATTTTTTTTCTTATTTAAAAAAAAAATTTAACTGGGGCCAGCACTGTGGTGGTGCCAGCATCCCATGTGGGTGATGGTTTGAGTCCTGGCTGCTCCACTTCCAATCCAGCTCCCTGCTGATGTGCCTGGGAAAGCAGCAGAGGATGGTCCAAGTGGATGCACCCACTTGGGAGACCCAGAGGAAGCTCCTGGCTCCTGGCTTCAGATTGGCCCAGCTCTGGCCCTTGGGACCAATTTGCAGAGTGAACCAGCAGATGGAGGAACTCTCTCTCTCTCTCCTACTCTGCCTTTCATATAAATAAATAAATCTTTAAAAAAAAGAGAGAGATTTATTTATTTGCAAGACAGAATGACAAAAAGAGAGAGGGAGAGACAGAGACAACTCCCATCTGCTGGTTCACTCCCCAAATGTATACAATAGCTGGTGAACCAAAGCCAGGAGCTGAACTCAATCTAGATCTACCATGCAGGTGCAGGAACACAGTTAACTTGAGCCATTACCTGCTGCCTTCTTAGGTTTGCATTAGAAGGAAGCTGGAGTCAGGAGCTAGAGGCAGGTAGGGATGGAACTCAGGCACTCTGATGCGAATGCTAGTGTTTTAACTGCTAAGCTAAATGCCCGCCCACTGACATACATCTTTCTTCACTTTGCCCCCACCCTATCTTCATTATTCGTCACTAAATTTTGCTGATTCTCTAAGTTAAACATCTCATATCAGTCACATTTTCTGTACTGCCTTAGTGGAGGCTCTCTCCGTTTCTTCCCTAGATAATTAAGTTTAGACTAACTCACCTTTCACTCTCATTTTCTTTCTTCCAAAACCATTCTGCACTACAACCGAAGTGATTTTTCTATGGCCAAACCTAATCACATTACTCCTTAGTTTAAAAAGAAATCTTCAGTTAGGCTTAATCAACTTCATAATAATGTTATAATCTCCTTTCCTATCACTTCCAGATCTCAATTCCTTCATTTATCAGAAATTTACCAAGCATCTATTACGTGCTAGCCAACGTGGATACAATGATGAATGACAGACAAGTTCCTGGCACTCATGGAACTTACATCCAGGGAACAACTTTGTCTCCTGCTCTCTCCCATGCTGCAGCTACACAACAACAACTGGAACTTTCTCAATTGTACCATGTGACTTCCCACTTCTGTGATTGTATTTATTCCAATTACTTACACTGGTCCCTCCTCCCTCCCTCCTTTTGTATTCCTGTGCCGGTTATGTCCACCTGGGAAATTCTCATGTACTCTGCAAGTCCCAGCTTCCATCTCTTTTGTGAAGCCTTTCCTGAAACCCTGACCCAGGGAGAGTTGATTATTCGCTCCTTCAAGTCCATGGTTAGTTAAGGAAAACAAAATAGGATGTAATAAGTCTAACTGAAAGTAGGAAAAAGTTCCCAGCACAAAGAAAATATGTATGTCTCAGGTCATAGATATGCCAGTTACCCTGATCACACTTGTACCCCAAAAGTACTATAATTGCTATGTGTCAATTTAAAAAAATGAAGAAAAAAAAAGGTTAGGAAAAAATACACAAACTCTTAGGGGTAACTACATCAATAGACCGTTGTCCTTGAATACTGTGAGCATTGAAACTAAACCCTCATCAACCTCCTTGGCACCAGGATTCTGTTCAACCCTAAGGGTTCATAAAAGTTGTACAATTTCTTTGTGCTTGCAGATATTTGGTATTTCTTCAGATGAAACACAAGATGAGGGGAAACAGTGTGTGCTTCATGAATGAACCATTAAAAAGACAAGTGACAGCTCAACCTTCTCTCCAGGCACATTTGTCACCTAGGCCGTTAGCCTTCAGGGATTTGGGCTGAATGACATTTGCTATAGGTTGATAATTAGTTTTTCTTTCTTTCTTTTTTAGAAAAAGCATAAGAGGCCAGTGTTGGCCTCTACCCCACGAGAGACACCAGCCTGAGTGGTTTGGGGAATATATGCCTTGATCAGATCTGCACTATGACTCCTGAATGCATGCCCAATCCCAGCAACACCTGCTCTCCAGATAGGCACCTGGGACTGGCAAAGAAAGAATCCATCAATTCCATTGTCCCCAGAGAGATCACCCAGATCCAGTGTCATGCTAAAGAAAAAAAAAAAGTTAAATTCCATCCACTGAAATCTATCAGTTATCAGAGGTCAGTATTCAGGGACCCTAATAAAAGCAATTACCATAGAATTAGATTTTTCCCCCCAGCTGAAAAACAATCCAAATACTAGGAAAAGTATGATTGTATCAAGAGAAGAAGGATGAGAAAGAATGAAGTTCCTTCATCAAATTACATCATCAGTATATTGCTAATGGCTTGAATTTTGGATTCTATTCCCTCTCATGGGTGGAAATAGGAATGATTTTCATCCAGCAACAATGAATTACTTATTTTGGACTGCAGTAAGTTTGAATACATAGATTTTATTGCACAAAAATTAAAAATATGTAAGCAATAACATTTTAATTCAAAGCAATTAGCTTCCTTTTCATAAAGAAAGAGACATCTTTTATTTTTGGCCTATTTCTATAGACTTGC